TATCTAGAATAACATAAAATTGTAAGTATAGTTTATCAATATTGGATTTTCAAATCAAAGTACTGAAACGTCTTATAGAAAATAATATATGAAGACGAATAAAACCTCCTAAAGAAAGAGAACACACCACGATTAAAATAATAAAACCAAAACTCCAAAAAATCTCAATGTTCATTTTCTCTGTCTAGAAACACTTGTGCAAGCCCTTTTCCCTCGAATCCTGCAAGAAACAAATTGAAGAAAGCCAAAGAAATCAGAAATTTAGTAGTACCTGATAGGGCGATTCATGGAATTAAACCAAACCACCTTGAAGAGAATTCAAATCCAAAATTGGAAAATTAACGAATTCATTATGCAATAATGTCAAACACAATAAAAATCCATAAACCATAATTGTATCAACGCAATTACCGGTGAATCAGTTGCCGAATAAAAAAGATTCATATTGATGCAAATCAATAATAAATTAAAAAGAGAATTTGAACATTAATAAGATTCACATAATCACAGATCATAATTAGACCGAAGTTAAGAGAAAGAGGAGGAGATTTTGTTACCGAGTGAGTAGCATAGAGCTTGAATCTATGAAGGACATGCAAGTCAATCAGTTTGGGCCTCGGTTCGAACCGAGCTAGATTAATCTTCCCCTCAAAGTTGGGTTGACCCCGATTTCGAATCAGTCGATTCAGAGAATGATATAGTAAATTGAGAGTTGGGAGAAGGTGACGTGGCTGTGGTAAAATGAGTAGTCATCTCAGTAACGTGGAGCTTTCTAATTGGATCAAGATGGTGGCTTATGATTGGAAGATCAAAATAGTTTGTTACAAGGAAGGAACGAGGAAGCTGGAGGCTATAAGAAGACAAATACTTTTACACTTTTGATTATCAAAAATCTTGTGAACATTTTTCATTTTCAATTTCTCTTGTGCTCGCTGATTCTTGGAGCTTGTTGCTTCCATCGATCGGTGAGTTTCAGATTCTCGTTTTATGAACGTCAGTCTGTAGTTTCTGGGTTGATTTCTAATAAAACTCTGAATTTCTACAACAGAGAAACATCCAAGCAGATAGAGAACATATATAGGATATATAAGATATATAATGTTTAGCTAAAAAACTCTGAAAGGGTTCAAAAAAAGACACATGTTACGATTCATGATTTGCCCCTGAATTTAAAAACGTATTTAATGTGTTTTGAGTATATCCTAGGGTTTAGTTCAAAAAAAAAAAAAAAAAAAAGTATATCCTAGGGTTTATAGTAGCCAAAAAAAGCAAATAAATAAATTCATGATAAAATAGAAAATATAGTTAGATAATAGAATAAATTTTCGCAAGATGAAACAAACCTTAATATCTTTTGGAGATTTTATTAATTAAATATTTTGTTTTTATTTCATGCACCAATTCACGATGTTTCCATAAACACCAACCTGCAAATTCATACACAAACACCATTAAAGATGAGGATCGATCCACTAACATAACTAAAAAGACATGAACTTAAAAGACTATTTTACCTTTTTGTTTTGGTATTTTTCTTACTCTTCATCATCTTTTTCAATACTTTCGGTGAAGATTAACCTACAAAAATAAAACACACGATTAGATGATACCCAAAAGTTATTTATTTGACACAATCAAACGAACATACAACTCAAAAAATAAAAGAAACAAATCAGTATTATCATATAAACACCAATTTATAAAACACAAACACACAATACACAAACTCGATTCATGAAAAGAATAGTAGCTATATGAAAAAAATCATAATATCGAAACTATCTAATGAGAATAAAGAAACTAAAAAACTCATCACAAATTGGCAAAAATCTTTGAGATCTTAGTTTCCAAGTGACCATAACATAAAAAGGTGGAAAAAAAACCGACGACGATGCATCATAGAAAAAACCAAATTTGAGGTACAAAAAAGAACTATAAACCATAATTGCTATGCATAAAAAGCCAGCCGTGATGTTTGATTTTCAATGGAGGCATCATATTTATAGGAATCTCCAGCATAAGGTTTTAGGGTTTTACATATGACGGTGTAAATTATACCGGGCTTTTTTCCGTAAAAATATAAGCCCAATAAGCGAATTAGGGTTGAAGAAACGAAGACGGTATGTTTCTTTTTTCACAATTTCGATTTTTATTTTATTAACAAAATGGAAATTTAACTAATCTAATCTCATTAAAGGGGAGGGGGGCAAAAACGACTGCTCATATTCTGAGAGCGAACGTGAGCACTTTCGACTTCTCCTTTAATATATAAGATACCAAATGTTGCGACGGTTTGTTAAATAAAATAAATATTACAATAGTTCAATTAAACGGTTACAATAATTTATATATATATATATATATATATATAAAAAGTTCAAAATAATAATTTACATAGTTGTAGTGTTACATCTAAAGATGCAACTGTAGATAATTAAATGTTACAACGGTTCATAAAATAAACGAAAAATTTCAATGATTCGTTAAAGAAATTATATTTTTGTAATGGTTTAACTAAACAATTGCGATAATTTATTTAAATATAATTTAGTAACGAAACTAATAACAAAATTATGAAAAATTCCGATAAAAGTACGCAACCGTAGAAGATATTTATTTGGACTGCTATTATTACATAAAAATGTTACAAAAAGTTCATAAAATAAACCAAAAATTGCAATGGTGCATCAAATAATCTAAATATTACAATGGTTCAATTAAACGGTTGCAACAATTTATTAAAATATAGCTTTTAGTAATTAAAAACTAAGTAAAATTATATGAACAGTTGTGCTGAAAGATACGATTGTATATTGAATATACTAAAAGTTTTAATTTTCTGTCAAACGTACTAAAATTATAATGATTCATAAAACAAATAAAAATTTTAGAGATTAGTCAATTGAAATGGTTCAGTTAAACGATTGCAATCTCATTTAAATATATTTTAGTAATCAAAAGCTCAAACTAATAATTTAAAAGAAGTTACACTAAGAGATGCGATTGTAGATAACTAAATATTATAAAAATTTATAAAATAAACCAAAAATTGCAATGGTTTGTTAAATAAACTAAATGTTGCATTGGTTTAACTAAACGGCTAAAACTATTTATGAACATAATAGTATAAGACACTTATGCGGATTACAACTTTTCAAGAAATTACAAACGTAAAATATTTTTAGCAAAAAGTTGCTATATACATCAGCAAAAAAAACTTTTATTGAGATTGTTATTAATCATATAGATTAAATATGTAAACTGAATGATATCAAATAAACCAGGATTGCTGGAAAAAAGATGAACCAAAATTTTGAAACTCACATAAATCTTAAGTTTTTTTAATAATAGTTCAATGAGAAAAAATAAAAGAAAAGTTATCTTAGAGGTAGCTGTAACAAAGTTGATAAACTTTTTTATAAAAAAAATGATTGAAAAAAAAAATCATCTCTCTTCTCTCTTCATATTTTTGAGAGAGAAAGTCGATTCCTATTCTTTACTCCGGTATCCGAAATTCTCCGGCAAGGCCGTCCAATTGGTTTCAATCGGCTTTAGCCCGATATCCATCAGCTTCTCATGCAGTGGTTTGTCGGTTTCTTTTGCGGCATCTTCCGGCTCTGATAGCGGAGATGGTCGGCTTTTGCCCGACAAATTCGGCTCCCACATGAGATTTTGGCCGATTTCTGTATTTCTTCCACCATGAATCAGTTTCAAGCTGATTTTTAAAATTTATTTATCGTTTTTTTTTATAGTTTTCTTTCAATAAATGCTTCAGATTTGGGTTGGTGATGAATCTTTAGGTTTGTGTGGCTTAAATTTTCAATCTCCAGTTCAATCTCTTGAAGTTTTAGAGTTACAGGAATCAATAAGAGATGGCCTCTTTAGTTGAAGGAACGAAGAATTTTCTGACCCTTATTCGGATTTAAATTCTATTGGAGCTTCGATGGCTTAGTTTCGGTGGTTACTAAAGGAATCATTGATCGATTGTTTTTTGACGATGAATCTTTCACTAAAATCGGTGCTCGACGGCAGAGGTTGTAATCAGGAATCTTCCGATTAATCGTCTAATACGTGTTGAGATTACATCCTCTTGATGACACGTGGTTTCAAATTGAGTCAAAAGTTGATATTTCTTTTTCAGTCGAAGTTGATATTTTTGGTGGGCTTTTGGCTGGGCCTCATCTTTTCTGTAATTTTTTGAAGGGCTTTTATTTTGTCCATGTACTGTTTGGAATCTATACTAGTATTTTTGAAATACATTTTTAGCGGGTGGGTGAAACTGTTTTTAGACACAAATCGTACCCGACTTGATAAGAAAATTATTTCATAAAATTTGGTTGGATCGGGTTATATTTAACTCAACTCTAACACCGGTATTTGCCTAAAAGTCGGATACAAATATTACCAAAATTGGATCGTATCCACTATTTACGTTTCTATATTTAAAAATAAAGATATTTAGAAGATTTGGTTTTGATTTAAGATTCGCCTTTCATCTTTGTTTGATTATTTTTTTAACTGTTTTGAATTCTCATATAATACATAAAGTTAAAAAAAGTCTCAATTTTTTTTGCATATATTATGATTCAAAATTTTAAAAACGGACATATATTACCCAATTAATAAAAAAGTATGTGTTCAACGTCCCACATCGGCTAAAATGTATAGACAATGATACAGAGTCATATTATAAATAAGATCAAAATGAATTCAAATCCGAATAAGCAGGAACCTTAACATAACAAGCAACCAAATTTAAAAGTTTGTATACGGATTAATTCGGTTATACAAACTGTTTTATTTTACCGGAAATACTATAATTGATATATTTGAAAGTAATAGAAAGTTTATAATATTACGAACATTTGAAAATATAAAAAAAGTAATATGGGACGGATTATATTGCAGGATCGCGGGACGTATTTTAAATCAACATTAATAAAAAATTTAAATATCATTAATACGCCCCTTCAATACGGACGGATTAAAATCAATAAGAACTTCATAATATTATGAATATTTGAACATATTAAAAATAACAAGGGACAAATTATATTACACGACGGATTATATGGCATGACGGGTTTGAATTAACATTAATAAAAATTTAAAATATCATTAACTTACCGCTTCAATACGGATTAATTCCAAATTTATTATTTTTTAACACCATGATTAGGCCTGGGATAATTACCCGAACCAAAAATTCTGACCCGACCGAACCGATAAAATTGAATTCGGTTCACAATCGGCTACTACACAGAAACCGATCGGAATTTCAAATAATCTTCGGTTTTCTCGCCGGGTCGGGTCGGTCGGTTATTCTGATCGGTTAACCAAAAATTTTAACCTAACTATAACTACCTAATTCTAACCCTAAACGACACTCAACCTCCAACCTCTCTCACCTTTGGTCGTTCTCATCTCTCAATTTTCTCTATCGCAACCTAATCTCACTGAGACATTGAAGCTCAATCTTGTCTTCTTCCTTCAATTCTCAGCCTTTCTTATTTCTTCATCTTTCGTTCTAGCCTTCTAGGAAAAGGTTAGTTCGATTATTCAATTTGATTTAAGGTTTGAGTTTATGTTTAATATGAAATATTGAAATTGATTGTTTTGTGACTCTTGTCCGTGTTCATCCTTTGTTCTCAGACTCTTGTCCGTGTTCATCCCTCGTTCTCAGTTTGGGTAAGGATTTGAGATTCAAGATCTTGGATGTCAAACCGTCTTTCTTCTCCGCCGCTGCAACCGCTTCTTTTTTTTTTTTTTTTTTTGAATGTAATGTTAAATTATATTCAAAGAAAAAATATCGTTTTTACAACTAGTGCAACGTTCGTCTGAATTTAAACCGAAAGCTGAAATTCAAAACTCAGAAAAAAAAACTTATAGTCTTGATTCAAACCACATTTGGAGCCCCTTGTCATATCTTTTGTCCCCCAACAGTTTGATGGACGAAAGTGTGTTCCGAGTGTGCTTGTCGATCCAACCTACTAATTGAACTGCCGAGTTATGATGTTCCCCATGTCGTCTACCATTCCGATCTCGCCAAACTGCGTAGACTGTTGCTTGGAGAATGTACCGAGCCAAGAAACTCTCTATTCGGTTTTGCTGCATATTGGAGATATAAGAAATGAGTGATGGCCAATCAGTTGAGTATCTTGCCTTGAATATGTTTTTAGCTAGTGCAGCCCAAATCTCTGACCCGTAGCCACATTGAAAGAACAGATGATCCCAGGTTTCTAGATCATTGTTGCAAAACACGCAGCCCACTGGTGAACCTGTGTTCCATTTGTCGATCTTATCCCCTGTTGTTAGCCTATTGTGGGCTGCGAGCCAGACACAGAAAGAGTATTTAGGAATCGCATGAGGGAACCAAACTCCCTTGTGCCATGTGACTTCAGTTGATGTGGTTCTGATTCTGTTCCATGTGTCTTTGGTTGAGAAGCAGTTTTTGAAAATGTCGTTCTTGCCTCTCCAGAGCACTATATCTCGATCCTCTGTCCGTTTTCCCCTTGCTACCTGAAGAGTATCTACGATGTGGTTTAGAGTTGTTGTGCGGTGTCGTCTACGTCGGCTTGTAGACCACGCCTCAGCAACAGAGAGGCTGCGATTTATTCCCAAATCGATCACTCCTCTGTCCCCCGTAACGTCCATGATTCTGCCTAATTCCGACCAGTTATCATACCAAAAGGAAGTAGCTTCTCCATTTCTTACCTCCACCTTACAGAATGTTTGTGCCACAGCTCTATACTTGAGCAATTTTCTCCAAATCCATGATCCCAAAACAGAGTTCTCTTTCACTGACCAGAATGATTGCTTTCTTAGAAGATGTGTTTCAGACCACTTGACCCATAGAGAGTTGCTGCGAGAGACGATACGCCAAATCAACTTCAGACAACACACCTCATTTGCTTCACGCAATGAGCGCAGCCCCAGTCCTCCCTCATTTTTTGGCTTACAAACCGCATCCCATGAGACTTTAGCCTTCTTTGAGCTTAACTCTACACCCGACCATAGAAACGCTGAACATATTTTTTCGATTTCCCGTATACATGCTCGAGGGAGCCTGAAAACTGCTAGCCAAAAATTACAAACACTCCAAATAACTGAGCTTATCAAGTTTAGTCTTCCAGCAAATGAGAGAAAGCGAGATGTCCAGGATTCAATTTTTCTTCGGATTTGCTCAATTAAAGGGAGGTAGTCTGAAGAGTTGAATCGCTTTGTAACAAGAGGAAGCCCCAAATACCTTACTGGGAGTTGACCAACTTCAAAAGGAAAACGTTGAGTGATCTCTTGATGTACTGGTTCCTGAATTCCCGCCAAAAACATGGTGGACTTTTCCATACTAATCTTTAAACCGGAACGTTTAGCAAAATCATCAAGCACCTGAACTATACCGTCAATGGATCGTACTTTGCCATCGGAGAGGATCATAAGATCATCAGCAAAGCTCAAATGAGTTAAACCAAGTGATCTACATTTCGGATGATAGCCAAATTTCCTTGCACCTGCAGCTTTATCCAGCATTTTTGATAACACCTCCATACACATAACAAATAAGTAAGGGGAAAGGGAGCAGCCCTGCCTTAAGCCTCTTGCACTTCTAAAGAAACCCACTAATTCACCGTTCACCTGTACCGAGAATGAAGCCGTAGTGATGCATAGAGTAATCCAATGAATGAACTCCGATGGGAAGTTCATTGCTAGAAGGGTATTTGTAATGAAGCTCCACTGGACTGAATCAAAAGCTTTGGAAATATCAATTTTTAGAGCACAGCGACCCGAGATGGAATCCTTGTGATAATCCTTCACTAATTCTGTCGCCAACAGCACATTTTCAATCAAGAGACGATCTTTAACAAAAGCCGACTGATTTCCCGCTATGAATTTTGGAAGCACCTCTTTAAGTCTATTTGCGATTATTTTTGAAATGACCTTATATAGCACATTGCAGCATGAGATAGGTCTGTAATCTTTCATCTCTTTTGCTTCTTTTCTCTTAGGGATGAGGGCTAAAATCGTGGTGTTTATGCCTTTAGGTAAGAACCCTTTGGTGAAAAAAGATTGAATTGCCAAGACAAACTCATCTCCAATAATATCCCAAGCACTCTTATAAAATTCCGATGTGAAGCCGTCCGGGCCTGGGGATTTATCATTCGGCATCGAGAACAAGACCTTCTTTATCTCCGCAGCCGACACTAAACCAGTTAACATCTCTTTATCCGTCACTGTGCAGCGATATGGTAATAATTCTTGAAGTTCAGCCACTGTACAACCGTCAAAATCATTCGGAACTAGCTGCAAAAACTCTCTAAAAAACCGTTCAGCCTCTTTTTTAATTTCCTCTGGTTGAGCCGTCACACTACCATCTTGGCATTGAATCTCTCTTATCGCATTTTGTGCTTCTCGAGTTGAAACAGCTCTATGGAAAGCTTTATTGTTCCTATCCCCTATCATCAACCAATGCAGTTTCGACTTTTGTTTCAAGTACTTCTCTTCCAATGCAGCCACTTGAACCCATCTGTCATAAGCTTCATTTTCTTCTTGCAGAGATTGCGGTGAAGGATTAGTGAGGTTTATTTCTTGCTTCTGGCATAAGATATCATACGCCTCTTTTGTTTTTTTAACTAGGTTACCTAATCTCTCCTTTGCCAAATTTCTTAAGCTAGGCTTTAGTCCCTTGAGTTTCTTTGAAAACCGGAATAGAGATGATGTAGACATAAAGAGAGGTTCTGTCTCTTGCCAGTAGCCCTCCACCATTGGTTTAAACTGCTCCATTTCAGTAAGAACGTTGACAAATTTGAAAGGTTTTTTCCCTTTTACCACACCACCAGCCCCAATATTCAGATTGATCCTACAACGCAAGTGATCAGAGCATCCTCCGGCTTCAAAAACACTATACGCCTGCGGATAAGACTTAAACCAAGCATCATTAACCAATACTCTGTCTAATTTCTTGGCAATTAGATCATTTTCTCTCTTATTCGACCAAGTAAACAGCGGACCATGAAACGCCAAATCTGTAAATGAACAATAATTTGTCATTGCTTGGAAGTCCCTCATACCCGGAGTTACTACCGGATTATCATCTGATTTTGAATGTTCTTCCAAGTCCAAAGTTTCATTAAAGTCCCCAAAAATTATCCAAGGTTTACTACGGATGATAGGAGAGTCAAAATGAGCTTTCAAATCATTCCATAGCTCCTTCCTTTCCTCCATGAAATTTGATGCATAGATGAAAGAACAAAAGAACTCATCATCATGGTTTTCCAATTTCACCGAACATGTAATGAGTTGACCACTTTTGAAAAAAGGGGTTAGTCTCACACTTTTCTTCCAGACCACCCAAAGGCGACCTCGCCGATTATACTCGTAGTTTGTCATTACAGACCAATCTTGAAATAGCTTACCACTCAACCTCTGCGATTTATTCTCCTTAACCCTTGTCTCTATCAAACAACCGAACTGAAAACTCTGTTCTGCTATCCACTTCTTTATTACGGAATGCTTTTCTGATTTGTTTAATCCGCGTACATTCCAAAAGAAACCCGACATTAATGATGTTTGGGGAGGTTCTTCTTTCTCTGATCCCGAGGGGGGTCCCTAGAAGATTGAGTAGAAGAAATTGAGATTGTTTTGTGAGATGTTTTTGACTCACGTGGAAGAGATTGGCGTAGAGGCAACTCTGCTTTTTGAGTCTTGACTACTTCCAGGTCATGAGTAGCTTTATGTAGCACCTCAGTTGCTGCTGGCTCCTACGGCTCATCGTCTTTTAAAGAGTTACTTCCTCCTTCTAACTCGTCTTCTCCACTAAGAGCAGAGTACGTGTTTGAAAGCAGAGAGACCTCACCAAAATTAAGTTTATTTACTCGCTGCAACCGCTTCAAAGAAGGAGAAACCCTAATTGTCTACGGTTTATGGGCTTATATTTCTTGTGGGCTTTGTTTTCGTTGGGTTTTAATACCCAAAATATTTTTTGTGGACTTTAGTTAGATTTAAAAGCACATAAAAAAAATAAGAGAAAAATAAATTCGGTTATTTTCGGGTTTTATACACAAAACCGAAATAACCCGTTTCTGAACCAAACCGAACCGAAATCAATTTTGGTTATCTTCGAATACATTTAAAAATTCAGAATTAACCCGAAACCCCAAAAAACCGATCCGACCCGACCCGTTTACCCGAACTTGCAGGTCTAACCACGATTATTAGATATATCGAATTAGCCTCGAATTAGCCTGATGAAAACAAAATTGTATAGAACAAAAATTATTTCGTGCTATACCGCTACTTAATAATAATTATAAACTATAAAAATATATATATCTTATTAAATGATAATATTTGTAAATTTATATATTTAATACATAATCATTAAATTTAAAAAAATTACTACATTTACTAAATAAATCATTTTGCGGATTAAAATCTATCGTTTAAAATAATGCGTTACACTTGTGGAAAAAAAAATAGAGGTAGCTGTAACAAATGAGATTCACAGTCGGAAAAAGCGCGTGAGAGAAACATAGAAGAACACAAAAAAAAAAGTAAATTCAATGAAAGCAGATTTTGAGAGAGAGACCAAACAACCCATTCATTGTCCGATCAACACCGATCTACTTCACCAGACATGTTCACACACGTGTCTCCTCTCTCTCTCTCTTCCGATTCAACTTTTCTTCTACTCACTCTAGTCTCTGTTATGTCCTCCATTAGTAAAAGAACCAAGTAAGAATCACTTCACTTCACTTCAGT